CAATTTTCCTTAAACCCACCAAAAAACTAGGCCGAACTTGGGTTTGATGACTTTTATTTGCAGAATCTGCAACCATTAGCTAAACAATGCTAAGATGGTACACAATACAATGGTATCTTGATGTATGTGGACAGAGGTTTCCCAGGTTCGATTCCATTCATTTCCCAAGATTGTTTTTGGAAGCCAAATAAATGCAACTCAAACCCGTAACACAGCCAACTAGCCATCTCCAGTATTCCTCCAATCCCAGAGCAGGAAGGCGGAAAGGCTAGACCCTCCCCCCAATGGAGCCATGATGGCTAGCACCCAAGGGTGGGAGTGAATCACTGAAGGGCAGCCTCAGCCCCTTACAGTGGGATGTGTTCCCTCGAGACCCTTACTTCCAGCAAGTTTGATATGGGGTTACCTAACTGGTAAAGACTCATCACTTTGCCCCTCAAATTAAAACATGATAAACCCAGAAAGTTTTTACACCTTCAAAATCCACACTCCCCTCGGAAGAAATAATCTACAACGTCGCCTTTGTGACGGGAACCTTTCTTCCTTTGAATACCCAGGGCTTCCATTTCCAGCTCTGCCTTCAGGTAGTTCACTTGGACACTGATTCCAATCTTGACGCACAAAAATGACGTATGGAGAAATCAACCAGAGTTAATAGAAGGGCACTGAATAGACGAATTCAACCCGATGGAGTCCACCTACATCCCCCATTTAATACCCTGGGATTTCCATGCTACCAAGTTCCAACGTGGGCCCAATGGGAACCTGCATCAAGTGCTTCCTGTGATTCCTATACCAGCCACCATTGACAGGAATCTGGGGGTGAGGAAGAGCAGGACACAACTCCACCCCTCTCCCAAAGAGATCGCGATGACCCGGAGGTAGGTTTGGGGAGGTGGTAGGAAGCTTATGTCCTGTAGCCAGGCCTGAGAGCAGTATCTCAGATCTTGACTTTAATAGCAGCAGCCCTTAGTATAGGGTACAACCTGGGAGTTGCATGGGGGTACTGACAAGAGACAGAGCTCCCAGCTCTGTCCCCCAAGACTCCCAACAGGTTTGCCCTTTCTTATCTCCTACCTTCCTTTTTAGTTGTCTTTTTTTTTTTTCCAATTAAAAGCAGAGGTAGTAGTCTCTGGGATGGTTTAACGAAACACAAGACACACACAGACACACAACAAAAACCCAAACCACTCTACCTAGAAATGGCAGTATTTTTGACTTAATGAAGCAGTAAAAGTCTCCAGGAGTTTAAAAAAAAAATTTAAAATAATTGATGAAGTTGAATAAATTATAAAGATCTGGGTTATTCCACGCCGATGATTCTTCCTTAAGCTGTCTTTGGTATTTGGGCTAGCAGCCGCAGTAGCATCTCTCTTGGTTGCTTTTCTTCTCATGCTTTACCCAAAACGGTGACGGAGCTTGGCAAATGGAGCTCCGGGACTGGGCCTGTGGCACTCACAGCCCTGGCAGACGGTTCTAATGGGCATCTTATAGGGATAGGCTAAGAGGTGCAACACAGCAGATTGCCCAGGGAGTATGGGAAGTCTGGTATCAATCTCTCTCTCCCAATGTCACTCGGCTAGATGGTTTTTGTTCAAGGTTTTGTTTTGTTTTCTGCAGCAAAGAGGAAAGGGGAGAGGGGCACCGGCACCCTACCACCACATTCAGAGCTTTTTCAGACGACTATACATCTCCCTTTTGCTCTTTTCCCCTGCCCAGGTCCGGCTCTTGGTACGGAATTTCTTCAAGTCTTCTTTAAAGTCTTCATGGTGCATGGGGCGATAGCTGGGGGGTTCACAGTGAGACTGAAAAAGACGAGAAAAGGAGAAGGTTAGGATATCCTTGTCAGGCCCTCTTTGCCCAGAGGTGCAATTCCTGGATAGACACCATGTTCTACCAGGGCTTTCTTTGTGGTAAGCAGATAGCCATCTTGTCACCACATTACTAGCCCTGCTCCTGGGGCTTGAACTAAAGGCCTGGGCACCACTTCTGGCTTTTTCTGAGTAGTTTACTGGAGACAAAGGAGTCTCACAGACTTTTTTTTTTTGCTTGTTTTGCCAGTCTTGGGGCTCAAACTCGGCCTGGGTACTATCCCTGAACTGCTTCTGCTCAAGGCCAGCACTCTACCACTTGAGCCACAGTGTCAGCCCCATGACCACCACCAACAACAACAAAAAAGCGCCACAGCACAGTCTTGAGAAAAAAGAAAAGAAAGGAAAAGAAAAGGTCAGGAGCCAGGTGCCGGTGGCTCACGCCTGTAATCCTAGCTACTCAGGAGGCTGAGATCTGAGGATCATGGTTCAAAGCCAGCCAAGGCAGGAAAAGTCTGTGAGACTTATCTCCAATTAAGCACCAGAAAACTGGAAGTGACGCTGTGGCTCAAGTGGTAGAACGTTCGCCTTGAGCTGAAGAACTCAGGGATAGCGCCTAGGCCCAGAGTTCAAGCCCATGACCAAGGAAAAAAAAAAAAAAAGCTCAGGGATAGTACCCATACCATGAGTTTAAGCCTCAGAACTGGCACAAAACAAAACAAAGGTGGGCTAAGAATGTTGCTTAGTGGTAGAGTGCTTGCCTAGCATGTATGAAGCTCTGGGTTCGGTTCTTCAGTACCACATAAACAGAAAAAGCCTGAAATGATACTGTGGCTCAAGTGGTAGAGCACTAACCTTGAGCAAAAGCAGCTCAGGGACAATTGCCCAGGCCCTGAGTTCTAGCCCCAAGACTGGCAAAACATAAAATGCAACTGAGGGGTGCAGACATGCTCTCCAGAGACCCCATCTCACCTGGCATTTCAGGAAGAACTCCTTGTAGCCTCCCTTCAGGACGTATAGCTCAGGATAGTGAAGTTTGGGATATTCGTTACCCAGCCGATCTCTCTCTCTCACATACCGGCACCTAGTGAAGGAGGAGAAGGAAGGCCAGTGCCAGGTTAGTTTTTGCCCATACAGAGAAACAAACACAACCCAGCAAAAGAACTGAGGGCCTGGGCACTCTCCCTGAGCTTTTTGCTTCAAGCTAACGCTCTACTACTTTGAACCACAGTACTACATCCGGTTTTCTGGGGCTCAGTTGGGAGATAAAGAGGCTCACAGACTTTCCTGCCCAGGCTGGCTTTGAATGGCGATCCTCAGATCTCAGCCTCCTGAGGCAGCAATGATGACAGAGATGAGCCACCTGTGCCTGGCTCAGAAGTGGGATTTAAAAAAAGCTGAAATCCGGCTGGGAAGGTGGCTCAGTGGTAGAGCGCTTGCCTTGCATGCTTGAGGCCCTGGGTTCAATTCCTAAGCACCACATAAGCAAAAAGAAAAAAGCCGGAAGTGGCGCTGTGGCTCAAGTGGTAGAGCACTAGCCATGAGCTGAAGAGCTGAGGGACAGCGCCCAGGCCCAGAGTTCAGGCCCACAACTGGACCCCCCCCCCAAAAAAAAAGCTGAAATCCTTACAATGTCCTAGTGCTCTACCACTAGAACCACAGCACCACTTCTGGCTTTTTCCGTGTATGTGGTACTGAGGAATCGAACCCAGGGCTTCATGCATGCTAGGCAAGCACTCTACCACTAAAGCCACCTTTCCAGGCCACATGCATACAGGTTTAGGGGTTGATTTTGCTTGTGTGGCAAGAGGTTCGGGCCCTGGAGAGGCAAAGGGAAGTTATCAGCTACCTCTGCTCATGAGTGAACATGGGGACTTTGCTCCAATGTAGCCATTCACAGGTTAATCAATACAATTAATAGCTTTATATTAATGTACAGCACAGGAATGGGAAAAAGGCTCAATAGTGGAGTGCTTGCTGTCACACACACAAGGTGGGGGGTGTGGAATGGGAGATGGGAGTTAGGACAGGGACAAGTCCTTAACCTCGGGAGACACTTGAGCAACAGCTCTATTTCTGGTTTCTTGTTAATTGAAGATTCAAAACTTTTATACTTTCTTCTTTCTTTGATGCTAGCTGGTCCTGGGGCTTGAACTCAGGGCTTGGGCACTATGCTTGAGCTTCTTTTGCTTAAAGCTGCTAGCACTCTTAACATTTGAGCCACGGCACCATTTCTGGCCTTTTCTGTTTATGTGGTACTGAGGAATCGAACCCAGGGCTTTGTGCATGCTAGGCAGGCACTCTACCACTAAGCCACCTTCCCAGCCCCTCCAATACCTTTTACAACACAAAGTATGTCTTGTACCTAGAGGCAGAAGCAGGGAAATGACCTGCTCGATACACTGAAGTACGCTCCACGGGAAAGCCACACACCGCACCACTATGTTCCACAAAAGCAGTGTGGGGGAGGGACTTCCTCCCCAGAAGCCTCACGCTCAGAAGCACTCACATGCGGGGCCCTCTCTCCGAAGAAAACTCGCAGTGGAACACGACAATGACACGCTTGTCATCAGTAGGTACGATGGGCTTCTTCAGCAAGAAGTCTTCAACTTCTTCTTCCATGTGTAAATTTACTGCACCCTGTGAAGGTACCACACCTCCTTTAGTACCCTTGGGTTTCACCATGCTTGGGATTCTGCCAGTTTCCCGGTAGGGAGCTTGGGGTATTCAAATCTGCACCTTGCCTGGGCTGACTTCAAACTGCAATCCTCAGTTCTCAGTCTCTTGAGTAGCTAGGATTACAGGTATGAACCACTGTGCCTGGCATCAAATCTTTGTATCGAAGCTTCTTAAAAAAAACATGGATCAGGAAGCTGAGATCTGAGGATTGAGGTTCAAAGCCAGCCACGGCAGGAAAGTCTGTGAGTCTCCTATGTCCAATGAACCACCAGAAAACGGGAAGTGGTGCTGTGGCTCAAGTGGTAGAGTGCTTGCCTTGAGCTGAAGAGCTGAGGGACAGCGCCCAGGCCCTGAGTTCAGGCCCCACAACCAGCAAAACACACACACGCACGCACGCACGCACGCGCACCCTACTGAGTTTAAGTCCCAGTCTCAAGACAGGAAAACAAAAAACAAAAACAATCACTACCAACATATGCACTAAACAATCAGATGTCACTACTGACCCAGCTCTCCCTCCCCCCCGTTTTGTAATACTGGAGATCGAACTCACACCTTTTAATTATATATATTTTGTTTCTGAAATAAGGTTAAAGCTAAGTTCACTCAGGCTGGTCCTGTCTTTATCTTTCAAATAGCTGGGATGACATATATGTATCCCACGCTCTCACTTTTAAAAAAACAAGTCTTGTCCTATGGCTCTCTATTTTTATTTTTGTTGGTTGTAGGGCCTAAACTCTGGGCTTGGGCACTGTCCCTCAGATCTTCAGCTCAAGGCTAGTACTCTACCACTTGAGCCACAGTGCCACTTCGGGCTTTTTCTGTGTATGTGGTACTGAGGAATCAAACCCAGGGCTTCATGCATGCAAGGCAAGCACTCTACCACTAAGCCACCTTCCTAGCCCTTTATGGCTCCTTCTATGCCCAGCAAGAAAGGTTTCAAGAATCCATACCTTGATGTGGCCTCCTTCATATTCATATGGGTACCGGCAGTCAATGATAACAAATTCTTTAATGAGATTGGCAAACTTGCCATTCAAAACAGATGCCATCTGTAGAGAGAAAGCAGAGGAAGGTTAGCTTGTACTGTCAGGAACAACTGGATTCAGATACTTCAGAGGTGGTAGGTCCCAAAAGATAACTTACAATTTCTGGAGAGATGTATTTTAAATCTTGATGTTTCCCAGCAACTGTATGAAAGAGATAACCCTTTAAAAAAAAAAAAGAAAAGAAAAGATACTTATTTAGAGACTCTGAGAGACTACATGTTATATTTATACTGTTTGCCTGGTGGTGGGGGATAGCTCTCTATTTCAAACTCCTCATTAACATGAAGAAGATCCATATGGTCAAAGATCAAAATGGACCCAACTGTGAGAAACCAAGTTTATTCCGTTAATACTTTCATACCTGGGCTGGCTTTGAACCGTGATCCACAGATCTCAGCCTCCTGAGTACCTAAGGATTACAGGTATGAGCCACCAGTTCCCAACTTTATTGTTAATATTTTTTGTGCTCATCCTGGGTATTAAACTCAGGGCCTGGGCGCTACGCTACACAGAGCATTTTTTGTTCAAGGATAGTGTTCTGCCACAGGAGCCACAACTATACTTCCAATTTTTTGGCTGTAACCGTATCATGGACTTTCCTGCCTGGGATGGCTTCAAATTGTGATCCTTACATCTCAGCCTCCTGAGTAGCTAGGTTGACAGGCATGAGCCACCAGGGCCTGGCTGTTTCCCTATTTTTATTCTTCTTTTTTTGGACAGTACTGGGGCCTGAACTTGGGGCCTGGGCACTGTCCCTGAGCTTCTCTTGCTCAAGGCTAACACACTCTACCACTTGAGCCACAGTGCCACTTCTGGCTTTTTCTGTGTATGTGGTCCTGAGGAATCAGACCCAGGGCTTCATGCATGCTAGGCAAGCACTCTACCACTGAGCCACATTCCAGCCCTATTTTTAACACAAACCACTTTGAGACTGGAGCAAGGCTGAGTGGAGAGTTATATGTCCTCACACCCCATGTATCAGCTAGAGCTGCTGGCAGTAATAATACCTTAGAGAAATCTCCTATAAGGTCTCTGGGGTCATTGTCCAGGATGTTCTCTATGGTCCCTTTGGGGGAAGATGTCAGAGACAAAGACTGGTGTAAAATCTGTAATGAAATCAAAGGCAGAGGGGAAAAAAGATGAAGCTGGATTCTGTCTAGAACTTCTACAAACAATCCAGTGAAACATGCCCGAAGGGACTTGCAAAACAAACCTCAGGAGTCCTCTCTGGATTAAGTGACCCTCCGGGACTAGTTCCAGCCAAGCTCTTCCGCCGCTTGGTGCTTCCTTGGGGAGACTCCTCTTGAGATCGGTCCGTTCTCTTCATTGCTGACCGAGTGCTGGAGACACACTGGGAAGGGGAATCAAATAGCCTGCAGCCATTGCCCTTAGGATGAAAGACAAGAGATTCATCATAGCTAAATTTAGGATTTATTCTCCATCCTACTCCCTTTTTTTTTTTTTTATCACCAATCCTGGGGCTTGAACTCAAGGCCTGGACACTATCTCTTTAATTTTTTTTTTTTGTTGGTCATGGGGCTTAGAACTCGGCCTGAACACTGTCTCTCAGCTCTTTAGCTCAAGGCTAGCACTTGAGCCACTGCACCACTTCCAGTTTTCTGAGTGGTTTATTGGAGATTGAAAGTCCCACAACCTTTCCTGCTAGAGCTAGCTTTGAACCTCCATCCTCAGCTCTCAGGCTCCTGAGTAGCTGGGATTATAGGCATGAACCACCACACTGGGCCCCTATGCGATTCTTATCTCCAATAAACTACTCAAAAAAGCTGGAAGTGTTGCTGTGGTTCGAGTGGTAGAACACAAAAAGACTCAAGGACAGTGCCCAGCCCCTGAGTTCAAGCCCCAGGACCGGCAAAAATAAATAAACATCAATAAACACCATAGGGACGGATAAGCACATGTCCAAATGAAACCCATTAATTAGAATTTTTTTTCAGTAGGTCATGGCGCTCTATCAGTCAAACCACAACTCTATTCCTCACTTTTCATGGGAAATTCATTGGAGATAAAGAGTCTTAGGGATTTATTTTTGCCCAGGCTGGCTTGGAATCACGATCCTTAGATCTCAGCCTCCTGAGTAGCTAGGTTATTTACAGACTGGAAAACGTGCACAGACCACGTGCAACATCAGGGTCACAAACTATAGGAGAACACATCCATCCTAGATCTAAAACAGAGGTTTTCAAGTCACAGTCACACCATTCCAGTCAGCCTTAGGCTGTACTTAGCAAAGGACACAACTCTTATCCAGTGCTTCAACTACTCTCCCTCCAGACACCCCCTAAATAACTTACAATATTTGTAGCTCTCCTCATGACCAGGGGAGCTGTCCAGAGGCTTGCCATCCCCGATGGGGTCTCCTCGTCGTTCTAAAGAAAAGAGAAAAATGGCTTTGAAGTAACCAATAGAGACCAGGCCAAAGGCTGGGAACCTCCCCCAGCCCTTTGCCCAGGACCATCTGGATATTTATAACATCATTATGGGCCATACACAAAGATCGATATTGGCAGATGGGCTAAGGCTAGCCATTGGGAAACATTATGTGTCTATATTATCCTCTACCAATCTGGACTATGGGCTAGACATCCCCCACTCTTAAATGCTATTCATGTAATTCTTTTTTGTTGTTGCTGGTCGTGGGGCTTGAACTCTGGGCCTCGGTGCTGTCCCTCAGCTCTTTAGCTCAAGGCGAGCACTCTACCACTTGAGCCACAGCACCACTTCCAGTTTTCTGAGTGGATTATTGGAGAGAAGAGTCTCATGATCTTTCCTGCCAGAGCTGGCTTTGAACAATGATTCTCAGCTCTCAGGCTCCTGAGTAGCTAGGATTATAGGTGTGGGCCACCAGCGCGCACGCGCGCGCGCACGCACACACACACACACACACACACACACACACACACACACACACACACACACACACAGTACCTTCAGATTCTCTCCATCAAGAAGGTCCATGAAGCCATCATCCTCATCGGACAAACTAGCCGTCACAGGTGACTGGGGTGTAAAAAGAGGAACAAAATTCCTTGGCTCACTATCTCTTTCATGTGAAGAAAGCTAAAAGAAAGAACAACAACAAAAAAAACCATACTACGGGGCTGGGAGGTAGCTCAGTGGCAAAGCATTTGCCTTACAAGTGTAACGTCCTGGGTTCGATCCCCAATACCAAAAACAAAAAGAAACAAAAAACAACTAAAAAACCCCAACCATGTATTATATGTCCTATTTTACATAGAAGGGAAATTTTAGCATCAACCGATAAAAGAAGTTTTTTGGTGCCAGTCCTGGGGCTTGAACTCAGGGCCTGGGTGCTGTCTTCTTTGTGCTCAAGGCTAGCACTCTACCACTTGAGCCATAGCACCACTTCTAGCTTTTCTGAGTAGTTTATTAGGGATAAGAGTCTCATGGACTTTCCTGCTTGAGCTGGTTTCAAATACTCTCTCCAAACAAAATTACTGTTTGGGAAATGCTTCAGCACTTTGGATACATTGTGCAGGAGAAAGAGTTTTGATTTTTTAAAATTTATAATGAAGTACTGAGGTTTATACTCAGAACCTTGCACAACACGCCTAGTCTAGCATTTTAGTGGTTAACTGAAGATAAAAGACCATGCAGGCTGGGTGCTGGTGGCTCACGCTTGTAATCCTAGCTACTCAGGAGGCTGAGATCTGAAGATCTCAATTCGAAGCCAGCCTGGGCAGAAAAATCTTTGAGAGTCCTATCTCCAATTAATTACTTCAAAGCCAGAAAAGGCGCTATGGCTCTTGTGGTACAGTACTAGCCTTGAGCACAAGAAACTCAGGGACAGTACCCAGGTCCTGAGTTCAAACCCCAGGACTGGCAAAAAAAAAAAAAAAAAGGGCAGAACACATACCATTCGAGCTGGGGCTGAGTTCTGCCTTGTGTGAAGACATCTTTGCTCTCGTCATGTCCATGGGCATGCAGGCAACCACGAGAGGCAGGTCTTATGGGCTTCTTAAACTCAAACACTTCCTGAAAGGCATAGATAAGACATCTACTGCTCATGAAAATCCAGCTCTCCAGCCTCAGTTATAACTTGGGAAGACAAAGGTGTGAGCACTGATTACCCTCAGGAACTGTCTCCAAATTCAGAGTTCATCTCTGATCAAATTCCAACACTGATTTGTATATAGTTAACTTCAAATGCAGCATCCAGGACTGGGGTGGGTTTGTTCAGTGGTTAGAGAGCACTTTAGTGATGTACAAAATCCTGAATTTGAGGGGCTAGGAAGGTGGCTCAGTGGTAGAGTGCTTGCCTTGCATGCATGAGGCCCTGGGTTTGAATCCTCAACACCACATAAGCAGAAAAAAACAAGGGGTGCTGTGGCACAAGTGGTAGAGCACTACCCTTGAGCTGAAGAGCTGAGGGACAGCGCCCAGAGTTCAGGCCTCACAACTGACCAAAAAAAAAAAAATCCTGAATTTGACAGCAATGCAAAGAAAATTGTTCTGTTTGTTTGTTTGCTTAAACAAAAATCACACTTGCTGAGTGCTAGTGGCCTACACTTGCAATCCTAGCTACTCAGGAGGCTGAGATCTGAGGATCACGGGTTGAAGCCAGCCTAGGCAGGAAAGTCTGAGAGACTCTCAGCTCCAATTAACCACTCAAAAACTAGAAATGGAGCTGTGGCTCAAAGTGGTAGAGCATTAACCCTGAACAAAAGAGCTCAGGGACAGCATTCGGGCCCTGCATTCAAAACTTACAATTGCCAAAAAATAAAAATAAAACAATAGGAGCTGGGAACATGGTTTAGTGGCAGACTGCTTGTCTAGCATGCATGGAGCCCTTCGATTCCTCAGCACCACATAAGCAGAAAAAGCCAGGAGAGGCTTTTGTGGCTCAAGTGGTAGAGCACTCGCCTTGAGCTGAAGAGCTGAGGGACAGAGCCCAAGCCCAGAGTTCAAACCCCACCAGTCACCAGTGGCTCACACCTGTAATCCTAGTTACTCAGGAAGCTGAGATCCAAGCATCCTGGCTCAAAGCTAGCCCTGGCATGAAAGTCCGTGAGACTCTTATCTCCAATAAAGCACTAGAAAGCTGGAAGTAGCATTATGGCTCAAGCAGTAGAGCATCCACCTTGAGCTCAAGAGCGCAGGGACAGCTCCCAAGCCCAGAGTTCAAGCCCCACAATTCACAAAACAAAACAAAAAACGAATGACAAAAGTGATAGAGCACTAGCCCTGAGCACACAAGCTCAGAGGCAATCCTAGACTCTTGAGTTCAAGGCCCAGGACTGGAAAAAAAAAAAGAAAGAAAGAAAAAAATGAAAAAGAAAGGCCCTGAGTACAAACCAAAGCACTGACAAAAAAAAAAAGTTCAAAAATCTAAAGTATTCATACACCCCATCCTAAGCTATTCACTTAAGAACTTATAAAGCATTAAAACCAGCTGTCTAGAACGCCAACACAAACACAGGAAGTACTTTCTGAGCATTAGTCGTCCAACCATCTCTACCACAAAAAACCCCAGGGACAGCATGTAGGCCGAGTTCAACCCCAGGACTTCAGGATTTGGTAGGGGGCGGAGGGAGAAGCCAGTGTACTGCTCCAGATCTCAAGGCAAAGAATCTATCTCCCTCATGACATTTCTCAAGGAGCCAAATAGAAGAACCAGGTGAGTTCTTGGAGGCCATTGGTTTTACACTAAGTCTGGAAGATTATAAAGATTAAAAGCTGTGGCATTTTAGCAGGAAATGAGGAGAAAATAAGCATAGGGAAATAAGAGTGACAGAGAATGCTAGAAAAGGTAGCCTGAAGCAGAAAACCAGCTAAGCTGTACCGGGAACTCATCTTCAAAATCACTGTTTCAGTTACTCTGAATTTGTTGGCTCCAAGCTTCCAAACACTAGCAAGAAGCACCCCCCCCCGCCCGGCTTTTGGGGGGTGGAGAGAAGTGGGGTTGGGGGTGGGGAATCAGTCCTGGGGCTTGAACTCAGGGCCTGGCACTGTCCCTGAGCATTTTGGCTCAAGGGCAGCACTCTACCACTTTGAGCCACAGTGCTACTTCCAGTTTTCTGGCGGTTAATTGCAGATAAGTCTCATTGATTTTCCTACTGGGGATGGCTTTGAACCTGGATCCTCAGATTTCAGTTTCCTGAGCAGCGAAGATTACAGGCATGAGCCACCAGCACCCCATAACACTTTTTTGTGGGGTGGGGGGGAGGAAGCTGGTCCTGGGGCTTGAACTCAGGACCTGGGCTCTGTCCCTGAGCCTCTCTGTGCTCAAGGCTAGCTAGTACTCTACCACTTGAGCCACAGAGCCACTTCCAGCCTTTTCTGTTTATATGGTATTGAGGAATCAAACCCAGGGCTGCATGCATGCTAGGCAAGCACTTTACAACTACGCCACATTTCTAGCCTCCGTGCATACATTTTAGATAAACAATCCCCCAGAGCAACAATCTGAGTGACATCTTCCAGGTACCATTTTATATTCTATATGCACATAATTATTCTTGTAGTAGTCCAGCCTTGTCCTTCCTAAACTGCTGATACTTGGCAGACCCTCCCCCCCCCCCCCGGGTTACTACAATGATGTGATACTCACATTTTCCTTGTTTTCATCCTGGTCGATGAGCTGAAAAATGTCATGGTCCAGAGAATCGGAATGGCTCCTCTTCAAAGCTGGGCTACATCCCAAAAGCTTCTGCTATCAAAGTGGGAAAAAAAAAAAAAAGGAAATTTGAATGAGCAGGTGAAGAAAAATTCAATGGGAATTGGATACAGTGGTTCATGCCTGTAACCCTAGCTACTCAGCAACAATAGATCAGATGGCAGTTTGAGGACAGCCTGGCAAAATTCAAGACCTTCTTTGAAAAATAACGAAAAGCAGACTAGGAATGTGTCCTAGTAGTAAAAGTGCTTGCCTAGCATGCATGAAGCCCTGGGTTTGGATTCCTCAGTACCACATACACAGAAAAAGCCAGAAGTTAGCCAGGTACTGGTGGCTCACGCCTTTAATCTTAGCTACTCAGGAGGCTGAGACCCGAGGATTCTGGTTCAAAGCCAGCCCAGGCAGGAATGTCCTTAAGATTCATCTCCAATTAACTACCAGAGAACCGGAAGTGGTGCTGTAGCTCCAGTGGTAGAGGGGAAGCCTTAAGCAAAAGAAGCTCAGGGACAATTCCAGATTAACTTGTCTCTCAAGCGCTGTGTTAGCATACCCAGCAAAAATTCAGATTTTGAAAGAGGTGGAATGGGGTGGGAATGCTTAACTTTCTACACAGCACAACAGGACCCCACCTAGCTAGCATACAGAAAGAAGGACTCCCAACAAAGCTTTGCACCCAATTTACAAAGGTCTATTTCCTTTTTTTCAACACGAATTGTAGTGCTCAACCAATCCCTTCCTGGTTTGATAAAACCAAGAGACAGAGGACAAAGTCCCAAAGAAGCAATCGCTGAGGCCTCTGAGAGTACAGAAAAATAATGTTCATTTTCTAAACTGAGGTCTCCTATGAAGGTCACCTAGTAGCTTGGGGACTGGGGGGAGGAGGGCATACAAGAGGTGTTAACAGGTATTAGCTCAAAATAAACAACGAAATTAACTTACAGGTAAGAAATTTATTCTCCTCACGGGATTTTCAAGGCTGTAATGAGATCAAGGAAAATAACTGAGAATAAAGCAAATAAAAAAGTAAACATAAGCCGGGCGCCTGTGGCTTAGGCCTGTCATCCTAGCTACTCAGGAGGCTGAGATCTGAGAATCTCAATTCAAAGTCAGCCTGGGCAGGAAAGTCCGTGAGACTCATATCTCCAATAAACCACTAGAAAACCAGAAGTGGTGCTGTGGCTCAAGCAGCTAGGCTAGATGCTAGGCTCTAAAGCTGGCTAGTCCCAGAAGTACCCCCAAACATAGGTTTTTAGGTTAAAAAGAAAAAAAGTAGCCAGTCATAGGTGGCTTATGCCTGTAATCGTACTCAGGAGGCTAAGATCTGAGGATCTCAGTTAGAAGCCAGCCCAGGCAGGAAGTCTGTGAGACTCTAATCTCCAATAAACTAGGGGACAGAGGGGAGGGAGGCGAGGTAAAGTGGCGCTGTGGCTCAAATTGTAGAGCAACACCTTGAGCTGAAGAGCTCAGAGACAGTGCCCAGGCCCAGAGTTCAAGCCCTATGACCCCCCCCCAAAAAAAAAGCCAGAGCTGGGAATGTGGCTTAATGGCAGAGTTTGCCTAGCATGCATGAAGCCCTGGGTTCAATTCCTCAGCACCACGTAAACGGAAAAAGCTGGAAGTGGCACTGTGGCTCAAGTAGTAGAGTGGAATCTTGAGCAAAAGCTCAGGGACAATGCCCAGGCCCTGAGTTCAAGCCCCAGGATTGGCAAAAAACAACAACAACAAAACCCAAACAGTAAAAGTTTAGAATTTTGCAACTGAGATATAGCTCAGTGGCAAAATGCGTACTTAGCAAATGCAACATCCTGTGTTTGATCACCAATTCCAAAAAAGACATAATAATTAATAATAATACAGTTAAGAGTTTAGAATTTTTATCTTAAAAAGTAGAAAACTTTAAAATAGTGAATATATACTTTTCTTTTCTGTCCAAGGGTCCAGGAGAATCCAGACAGAAACCTGTAGGAAGAGAAAAAATATATCAGGAAATTACTCCCCAAAAGACTTTTGTTATTAAAATATTTTCATAGTATATTCAGAGGTTTCCTCTCCCTCCCTCTCCCACACAGTGGGTTTTTTTGTTTTTGTTTTTTTTACTGGCAAATACCATCAAGGGAAATAAGACCTGAGGAAAACTTGAATTAAACTATCAATCATGATAACTTACTTATCCAGATAAAAGTAGGTGACCCACATAATTTTCTGTAAATCCAAGCATGCAAAGAATACCAGATTTTTTCTTGAACAACTTTGATTTCAAGTTATTTTGTCAAATCATACCCTAAGTTGAGTGCATAAAGAAACATATTTAAGCCAGGCGCCGGTGGCTCATGCCTGTAATCCTAGCTACTCAGGAGGCTGAGATCTGAGGATCGCGGTTCAAAGCCAGCCTGGGCAGGAAAGACTGTGAGACTCCTATCTCCAATAAACCACTAGAAAACCAGAAGTGGCGCTGTAGCTCAAGTGGTAGAGCGCTCGCCTTGAGCTGAAAAGCTGAGGGACAGTGCCCAGGGCCAGAGTTCAAGCCCCAGGACTGACCAAAACACAAACCCCCCGAATTCATTACTCATATGGTGTACAAGACAAAAATTTGCTGCCTTTAACAAAATATCAAGTAATACATCTACTCACCAAAGACTGCAGGTAACTGTCCAATTGCTCAGCATGATTGTATGCCAGTTCAGAATGGCTCAGTCCCACTAAAACCTGCCTGGCACCAATTCAGTCTGTGTCTATGTAGCTTTGCATAAAGTTAAACATTAAAGTTCCTGGCTGGGGGCTGGGAAGGTGGCTTAGTGGTAGGATGCTTGCCTAGCATGCATGAAGCCCTGGGTTCGATTCCTCAGTAGCACATAACTAGAAAAAGCCAGAAGTGGCGCTGTGGCTCAAGTGGTAGAGAGTTAGCTTTGAGCACAAGAAGCTCAGGGACAGTACGAGGCAAAAGGCCCTGAATTCAAGCCCCAGGACTGGCAAAAAGAGCTCCTGACTAATGAGGAGGGAGGATGACCATACCAGCCAGAAAGGAAGATCTTTCTGAGAATGTGTGTTTGAGAGTGAGGGGGGAGCAGAAGAGAGGAGAAAGAAAGCCTATGTAGAGCAGGGCACTGGTGGCTCAAGCCTGTAATCCTAGCTACTAAGGAGGCTGAAATCAAAGGATCATGGTTTGAAGCTAGTCCAGGCAGGAAGTTCTGTGAGACTTATCTCCAATGAACCACCAGAAAACAGGTGGACCTCTAGCGCAAAGTGGTAGAGTACTAGCTTGAGCAAAAGAGCTCAGGGATAGCTCACAGGCCCTGAGTTCAAGCCCCATGATTGGGGGGGATGAGAGGGGGGGCAGGTGGTGAGCCTATACACTACAGTTTAAGACCTTTGCTCCTATATGTCTAAACCTAAAAGGTTTTGTGGCATATTTCTATCTGTATAACCCCACCATAACTTGAACTTATGGCACAGAATGAAAGACAATGGCCTATTATTTCCTACACTGAGATTTCACTATACTTCCAATTACCCAACCCCATATACTTTTCTGAATGACAGTTTTGGGTGTTTTTGGTTTTGTTTTGCTTTTGCCAGTTGTGGGGCTTGGACTCATGGCCTGGGCACAGTCCCTGAGCTGCTTTTGCTCAAGGCTAGTGCTCTACAACTTGAGCCACAGTGCCACTGGTACTAAAGAATCGAACCCAGGGCTTCACATATGCTAGTCAAGCATGCTAGCATTAAGCCACATTCCTAACCCTGAATGGCAATTATGTAATGAATTTTACTCATCCGTCATGAGCAAGCAAACATCCAACACCTTCCAAAGACTTGTCTGTGTTTCAGTTCACCAAAACTCAGTGACCAGGTGGAAGAAATATTTTTTTGGGGGGGTGGGGTCAGTCATGAGGCTTGAACTCTGGGCCTGGGCGCTGGCCCTCAGCTCTTCAGCTCAAAGCGAGCACTCTACCACTTGAGCCACAGCGCCACTTCTGGCTTTTTCTGCTTATGTGGTGCTGAGAAATCAAACCCAGGGTTTCATGCATGGAAGGCAAGCACTCTACCACTGAGTCACCTTCCCAGCCCTGGAAGAAATCTCTTTCAGAAAATCTCCAGTATCATTCTCCACAGAGCACACTGGAAAATACAGGATCAAGATGAAAAGAAAATACCTGAATCAGTGGATTCGGAAGAGCCCATTCTCTGAAGACTGCTGTTATTTTTCACCTCCAGTGACTGTTCACACTCACTGAAACCAAGAAAAAGAGTTGCAGCAATTTTTAGGACAGTTAAAAGTCACACACAGAACACGAAGTAACCACACTGCCACCTACCTTGATCATTATGAGGCCTCACCACACCACCCCACTTTGCCACCCACAATAGCCAGAGTAAGGTCTGAGAGCAAAGGAAAGGAGTGGATAGACTTGGCCCTAGCCATATTGTAAGATTGAAAGGCTATGGTACGCTTTCCTGAAAGCACTAGGTTAATGTGCTTGCCAGAGAGGTGGAGGGGAAATGGAACTAGAAATTCTGGCTTTCCAAAGGCAGCGATCAGCGAGTGAAATGCCCAAAGTTTGAGAACATAAAAGTAGCTTTTGCTGGGACATGGTGGAATGTATTTTGCTATAGGAAAAAAGGAGAAAAAAAAAGTCTAGGAAAAAGTAAAAAGGACTTGGCCTTAGGAAAGCAGAGACCGGTGGACATCAGGGACTGGGGTTTGTAGATTTTGCACAAATGCGGGACAGGAAAATGCCGCCGTCCCTTTGTTGAGAAGGAACAAAGCTCACAGGAAACTAAGATTTTTCAGGCGTTGGTTCAGCCAAGGGGGAGGGGGGTGGGAAATGAAGGCCTAGCAGTTTGGGTAAGGGGGAGGTAGGGGGGGAAAGATGTAGGGATTCATATCCAAACCAGCTTCCTGGTCTAAGGAACTGGGAGAGCAGTCTGAAAAGGGGGTGTCCACAAGTAGGGGACCCTACTTAGGTCTTACTCGGGCTGAGGGATAAACCCATGGAGAGGATCTGAGCCATTTTCTCCCACCTGAACCTTCCGGACCTCCCAGGGAGAAGAAGGTGCACATGGCCAGGCCTGACTAGATCCAGTTGACTCCTTCTCGAGGGGAGCATCCGGATCTCTCCAGCAGGACGGAGGTAGGCTCCCCACGATCTGATTTCTTCCCGAGGACCCACAGGTAAAGCCCAGTGAGGGAAATGTGGGGGGGGGAGGATCGCTCGCCTGTTTCTCCCCCTACCCCCTATTCCCAAATCTTACCGGCTCAGTCCCTGCAACTGGTCCATCGTGACGGTCAGGTTGGTGACAGGGGACATCCCCCCAGCGGCAGACGCGCCCAACAAGGCCTGGGCCGTGGACTGCGGCGCGGGGTGGGGGGGAGGAGGAGGGCTGCAGGCGAAGAGCAGACGACGGCGGTGGGGGGGCTCCGGGCCCAGTTCCATGGCGGCGGCAGTGAAGGCGGATCAAGGTGTGTGGGTAGGTGAGGGGGGGGGGGCACCGGGCTCTGCCCCAGAGGAGTCCCGCTCCGTGATCTACCTCGGCCGCCCCGCAGGCACCGGCTTCAGCACACGCGCGCCCCCCCGGCCGCCCGCGGGATCAAACACAAACACGCGACGACCCCGCGGTTCTGGGACGCGGCGGCCGCGGGCAAAGCGGCGCGGACGGGCGGATGATGATGATGATGGGGGGGGGTGGAGTGAGGGGATGGTGTGGGGGGGAAGCCGCGGGGATCCCAAGCAAGCGCGATGCCCGGCTTTCCTCAAGCAGAAGCTTCCGCACCCACCGAGCACCGGCCCCGCCAGCACCACCTCCACCTGTGTGTATGGGGGGGGGGTCCGGTGGAGGAGGAGGAGGGGGGTGAAGTGTGTGGGGGGGGAGAGCAATCTGAAGATCAAATCCGCCGGGGCGGTGAGGAAGGGCCGAAGTGCTCTCCCGCCGGCCGCGCCTCCCCCTGTCCTTCCCCGGCCCGCCCCGCTGGACCGAGCTCAACCCTCCCCTCCGGTCCCCCCACCACCACCCCTGTCCCAGCCCCGAGCGGCTCGGTTCGCGGTAAAATAGCTCGGCTCACCCGGAGGAGGGGGCGGGGAGTGGCGGCGGGGTGGGGGGGGACCGGGGGAGAGAGCGAGAGAGCGAAAGAGAGACCCGCAGAGGAGAGACCCTCGCGGCCCCGCCCACTCCGCCCCGGCCTAGTTGGCGCCAAACAGAACCCACCAATCAGGAGACAGCATCTCGCGCCTCAGCTCCCGGAGTGACAGGTAGGCTGGACCAATGAGACGGGAAGAGGAAGCAGCTCGCGGGCTTTGACGGGGGCGGGGGGGGGGTGTGTGTCTCACTCACCCGCTCTCAACACACAAAAAAAGGAAAGGGGTGGAGTGTGTGGGGAGGGGAGGTCCGAGGGAGTGAACGGGGCTGAGAGGAGGTGGGTGGGAGCTGGAAAGATGGGGGGGGGGGGTCAATGAAACTCCCAGCAGCACCTGCTAGTCGCTGCGGAAGAAGGCTTCTCCTCCCCCCGCCCACACCTTCCTTTTTAACCCCGCTGCATGCTGGGTATTGTAGTTCTCGCCACACTCACAGGTCGGGTTTTCCTGTCCTGATTTAGGCCCACCGCCCCACTAATGCACACTGGTAACCAGACCCCAGAACATAGGAGCTGGAAATAGACCTGCTGGGTTTGATTGCTTTGTTTTTGAGGTTGGGTTTTGTCATCTAGCCCCCCAGCTTGCCTAGGATCGGATTCCTCAGACCTCAACCTCCTAAGTGCTGCTGAGATTACAAGCATGAGACCCACAGGTCCATCCGAGATGGCTGACTGGGATCTGGCTTTATTTACTCTCTTGGTCGGACGTGGGGCTTGAACTCTGGACCTGGGCGTTGTCCCTCCACTCTTCAGCTCAAGGCGAGCGCCCTCCCACTTGAACCACAGCACCCACTTCCAGCTTTTTCTACTTATGTGCTGCTGAGGAATCGAACCCAGGGCCTTATGCATGCCAGGCAAGCACTCTACCCTCTGAGCCACCTTCCCAGCCCCTGGGCTCTGACTTTATAACGAGGAAGAGGAGGATTATATTCCTGACCACCAGAATTAGCAAACCTTTTGGACATAGGACTTGAGCCCTACCAATACAGCCTGTCCTACACCCTTCAGTAATTTTTGCTCTTACTATATATGTTCTCAGAATCATTCCTTCTTTTCCGCCCTGTTTCACCCTACTGGGAGAAACTAGTAAAGAAATAAAATAATAGCTAACACTTAAGTAGGGTTTATGCCCGACACTATTACAAATGGCTTATGTGTTGTGTGTGTGTATGTGTGTGTTTTCTGTATGTTCTGGACTTTGAACTCAGGGCCTGGGTGTTGTCCCTTAGCTTTTTTTCCTCAAGGCTAGTGCTCACCCATGTGAGCCACAGCTCCATTTCTAGCTTTTTGGTAGTTACTTAGAGAGAGAGTTTTCATGGGCTTTCCTGCCCAGGCTGGCTTCCAACCTCAATCCTCAGATCTTAACCTTCTGAGTAGCTAGAATTACTGGTACCCAGCTGCTGCCTTCCCTGATTGACGTCATCTGATCTTTAACAATTCTCTGGGAGAGAAACGGTTCCTGTTTTATAGGTAACTATTTATTTTTAGAGCCCTGGCTATAGAGGGCTATAAAAAATAGTGGCTTTTAAAATTATAAAATGGGGAAAGGTGCAGCAATTTAGCTGTAAAAGGAATTGTCTTTTTGACATTGTTTTTAGGGAAAATATACTATGCTTGTTAAGATTGTGCTTGAGGTGGCTTTTCAGGTTTTGGGGGGTTTTTTTTTGGTGGTGGGGCTTGATCTCTAGACCTGGGTGCTGTCTCTGAGCTCTTCAGCTTAAAGCCAGCACTCTACCACTTAAGCCACAGCACCACTTCCTGTATTTTAGAGGTGTTTGAAGATAAGAGTCGCAAGGACTTTCCTGCCCAGATTGGCTTTGAACCATGATCTTCAGATCTCAGCCTTCTGAGTAGCTAGGCTTATAGGTGTGAGCCATTGGCACCGGCTCTTCTCACATTTATTATGTCCATTTATGCATTTAGGCTCACCCTCACATCAGTCTCCTTCAGTCTTGCTCCTTTTTTGTGTGTGTGCCATTATAAGGCTTGAACTCAAGGCTATTGCTCAACCCAGTGAGACACAGCCCCATTTCTGTTTTTGTTTTTAAATATTTATTTATTTATTGTTGGTTGTGGGGCTTGAAGTCTGGGCTTAGGCCTTGTCCCTGAGCTCTACAGCTCAAGGCTAGAGCTCTACGACTTGAGCCAAAGTGCCACTTCCGGTTTCCTGGTGGTTTAATTGGAGATTAGAGTCTCACAGACTTTCCTACCCAGGCTGGCTTTGAACCCTGATTCTCAGATCTCAGGCTCCTGAGTAGCTAGGATTACAGGTGTGAGCCACCAGCACCATGCTTATGTTATTTTTAAATATAATTTTGTTATTATTAAGGTGCTTTACAGAGGGATTATCTTCCCTCTCCTTTCTTTCTTTCTTTCTTTTTTTTTTTTTGCCACTCCTGGGGCTTGAACTCAGGGCCTGGGCTCTGTCCCTGAGCCTCTCTGTGTTCAAGGCTAGGACTCTACCACTTGAGCCACAGAACCATTTCCGGCTTTTTCTGTGTATGTGGTACTGAGGAATCGAACCCAGGCTTCATGCATGCTAAGCAAGCACTCTACCACTGAGCCACCTTCCCAGCCCCATCCTAGCATATTTTAAGAGGTTGAGTCAGGGGGAGTTCAAGGCCAATGCAGCCTACTTAGCAGCATTCTGTGCCAAAACAAGGAAAACTTTGTTTTCAGAGGTTTGTGTTATATAATAATATAGCCTTAGAATATACAAGTGAGCATAATGGAAAATAATCTGTAACCTTACTGTCTTCAGAGAAACTGTCAACATTTTAAACTCATGTGTGTACATGTGTCCATTTCTCTGTGTGTACATCTGTGTAGGCATCATGCATATCTATTATTTGTTTCTTGATGCGGTAAAACAATGAGAGGCCCTCCTATCTAAATAGACATTCTGGGGCTGGGAGAGACATTCTCTGATTGAGAGCCACTCAAGTGAATTGATATATTTGAGCATTTTTATCAGAAAGTCCAAGTACTGGAATGAAATGATTTAGTGTCAGTAAATCATTGTTTTCTTATTGTTTTTTTTCTTCTCCTTTTTCCTCCTCCTCCTCTTCCACTTCTTCTTCCTCCTCCTCCTCCACCTCCTCCTTTTCTCCTTCTTTTCCTTTTTCTTTTCTTTTTTTTTTTTTTTGTTGTTGTTATTGGTCCTGGGACCTGAACTCTGGGCCTGGGCACTGTCCCTCAGCTCTTCAGCTCAAGGCTAGTGCTCTACCACTGAGCCACCTTCCCAGCCCCATCTGGCCTATTTTGTTGTCTTTTTCTTTCCTTCCTTTTTTCGTGCCAGTCCTGGAACTTGAACTCAGGGCCTGGGCACTGTCCCTAAGCTGCCCCAGCCCTGTCTTCTTTGTTTAAAGAATGATCAAAGCCGGGCACCAAAGGCTCAAGCCCGTACTTCTAGTTACTCAGGATGCTCAGATCTGAGGATCACAGTTGGAAGCCAGTTTGGGCAGGAAGGTCTTTGAGACTCTTATCTCCAGTGACCCACCCAAAAGTCCTAAGTGAAGCTGTGGCTCAAAGGCTAGAACACTAGCCTGGAGCACAAAAGCTCAGGGACAGGGAGTGTCCAGGCCCTGAGTTCTAAGTGCCAGTAAGTAAAATATAACTTTGGTTACAGGATGAAGAATGCATTATTATTTAGCTAGGGAAAGTAGCTAGAAGGGATCAATAGCAGTCCTTCTGTGGGATGGTGTGACTTGAAATGAGGAAGGAATAAAACAGCGCTAGAGGAAGTCTTGGGGGCTGGGGAGGTGGCTTAACAGTAGAGGACTTGCCTTGCCTGCATGAGGCTCTGGGTTCGATTCCTTATTACCACATAAGCAGAAAAAGCCGGAAGTGCTTCTGTGGCTCAATAGTAGAGCACTAGCCTTGAGCTGAAGAGCTCAGGGACAGCACTCAGGCCCAGAGTTCAAGCCTCATGACTGACCAAAAAAAAAAAAAAAGAGAGAGAAGGAAGCCTTGGTTTTTACCTTGGTTTTTGCCTCTCAAAATAGCAAGTGTTATCTTCTGCATCCTGTATTGTTTGAAGAAGGGATTTCCTTTGCTAAAGCACTAACTTAAAAACCTCATACAAAAATAATAAAACTTGTTTTCCCCCTTTCTATCAATGGATAGGATTTATGTTTTGTAGTGAAACATTCCTCTTTCATTCAAAGATCACCTGCTCATTCTCCTTTCATTCAACATGTGGTGCCAGAATTGGATTTATCCTTCATGCTTATGGTCTGATCTCAAAAGCTAAACGGGGCCATACCTATCTTCCCATGAGTACTTTTAAAATTTCTTTTTACCTTTATTGTGAAGGTCCTAAGGCTTGAACTCAGGACCTGGGTGCTGTCCCAGAGCTTTTTCTTTTTCTTTTCCCCTTAAGGCTAGAGCTCTACCAGTTGAACCACACCTCCATGTCCAGATTTTTTTGGGGGGGAGGGGAAGGAGGGGATAATTAATTGGAGATAAGTCTCACTGGACTTTGCCCCCTGTATACTTAGTTCTCAACCTCTTGAGTAGCTGGGATTACAGGCTGCTGCCAC